AAGAAAATTCTACGATCACCCAAGATCCATCTACGAGATGAATAGCAACGACAGGGGGAGAGTGTGTCCACGTACCCTCGTGGACCGAAAGCGGAAGCGTTAGTTTAACACGGTTGATGTAGTCGAACGTCTTCTCGATTCAACCGATCAAGCATCGAACATACGGCACCTCCGAGTTCTGCACACGTTCGGCTTGATGACGTCCCTCAAACTCTTGATCCAGCAAAGTGTCGAGGGAGAGTTTCGTCAGTACGACGGCGTGGTTACGGTGATGATGATGTGATTTGCACAGGGCTTCGCCTAAGCACTATGACAATATGACTGGAGGAGTAAATGGTGGAGGGGGCACTGCACACGGCTAAGAAACAATTGATGTGCTTTGGGGTGCCCCTGCCCCCGTATATAAAGGAGGAGAAGGGAGGAGGCCAGCCCTAGGGGGCGCGCCAAGTGGGGGGAAACCCACTAGGACTCCTAGTCCTAGCCCCCCCTTTCCTTCTTTCGGAGGGGGAAAGGGGAAGGAGAGGGAGAGGCAGAAGGAAAGGGGAGCGCGCCCACTCCCCTTGTCCAATTCGGACTCCTCATGGAGGGGGGCACCACCCCTTGTGGGTTCCCCCTCTCTCTCCCCTATGGCCCATGTGGCCCATTACTTTCCCCGGGGGTTCTAGTAACCCCTCGGTACTCCGATAAATATCTGAAACACTCCGAAACCATTCCGGTGTCCGAATACTATCATCCAACATATCAATCTTTACCTCTCGACCATTTCGAGACTCCTCGTCATGTCCGTGATCTCATCCGGGACTCCGAACAATCTTCGGTCACCAAAACATATAACTCATAATACAAATCGTCATCAAACGTTAAACGTGCGGACCCTACGTGTTCGAGAACTATGTAGACATGACCGAGACACAACTATGATCAATAACCAACAGCGAAACCTGGATGCTCATATTGGTTCCTACCTATTCTACGGAGATCTTTATCGTTCAACCCGCAATGACAACATGCGTCATTCTCTTTGTCATCGGTATGTTACTTGCCCGGGATTTGATCGTCGGTATCTTCATACCTAGTTCAATCTCGTTACCGGCAAGTCTCTTTACTTGTTCCATAATGCATCATCCCGCAACTAACTCATTAGTCACATTGTTTGCAAGGTTTATCGTGATATGCATTATCGAGAGGGCCCAGAGATACCTCTCTGATACTCGGAGTGACAAATCCTAATCTCGATATATGCCAACCCAACAAACACCTTCGGAGACACCTGTAGAGCATCTTTATAATCACTCAGTTACGTTGTGACATTTGATAGCACACAAGGTGTTCCTCCGGTATTCGGGAGCTCCATAATCTCATAGTCAAAGGAATATGTATAAGTCATGAAAAAAGCAATAGCAATAAAATTTAATGATCATTGTGCTAAGCTAACAGGTGGGTCTTGTCCATGACATCATTCTCCTAATGATGTGATCCCGTTCATCAAATGACAACACATGTCTATGGTCAGGAAACTTAACCATCTTTGATTAACGAGCTAGTCAAGTAGAGGCATACTAGGGACACTTTGTTTTGTGTATGTATTCACACATGTATCAAGTTTCCGATTAATAGAATTCTAGTATGAATAATAAACATTTATCATGATATAAGAAAATATAAATAACAACTTTATTATTGCCTCCAGGGCATATTTCCTTCATGAGCATCTCGTCGACATCCGCTGAGTGCTTCGCCTCCGCCTCCTGCATGCGGCGGCGTTGGCCTCAGTCGCTGATTCCGACCAGAGGGAATCAAGGATCGCCTACTACTCCGCCTGCAGATCCGCGTCCCCAGCGCCCCCACGTCCTTCTCCTGCTCCTCTCCCTCCTCCTCCTCCTCCTTGAACTCCTCTTTCGGATCCACCACGCCCGGTGGTAGCCCTGTGACAATCCAGGCTTCGCGCCTTGCCCGGATATGCTCAAGGAGCTGCAGCCGGCGCTCCAGCGTTAGATATGGGTAGGTTCCTTACCCGACGGCGTGTGGGCATTGATACTACTGGTGGCGGACGACGAGTGAAAAGTGGCGGCGGTGGCGGACGAGAGAGCGAAAATGTGGATGTATAGGGTTCCGGTGCCGGCGGACAGCTTAAATAGCCAGGCTAGGGCACTACACGGCCTGCTAGAGTGGCGCCACGCAACGACGGAGGAGACGAGTTTCAGATCGCCAGGTTTCAAAGTGTTTTCGTGTGAGACCCAGTGTTGCGTCCCGTTGCGCTTAAGCCTACCCGCCTTATATTTAGTCTAGATGGCGTTTTTTTAGCATCAGTACAGACACAAGCGCTCATATACACGCGCATACACTCACCCCCAAGGTTCTCAGAATCGCGATTTTGAATCGGATCGGAACCCCGATGGTAGGATCGCAAATCGTAGAATCTTCACTATCAGAATCGTAGAAGCGTAGATTCTATGAAGTAAAATCGTAGAATCAGAGGGGTTAGTTTGGGTCGTAAAGTCGTAGAATCGTATAATAGAATCGCGATTCTGGCAACCTTGCTCACCCCTATGAACGCACACACGCACACCCTACCCCTATGAGCACCTCTGAGAGACTGAGCCGGCATATCATCTTGAGATTTACGAAGTCACCGTAGGCGCCTCGTCGTCGACGGGAACGTCTCCTCCCACTGAAAGCGCATCGCCGAAAATTCTGAAATAAATCCAGAAATAACGCGAGCACCAGGATTTGAACCCTGGTGGGTTGGGGATACCACTGCCCACCTAACCAACTCAACCATAGATTATTTAGTTTAGATGGCGTTTGATGCGTTTGTTTGGATGGGCATTTTCTGACCGGTCACTGACCGGGCATCCGTTGGGGCATCTGAGGTGTTTGAGCAATGCGACGTCGGCATGGGGCGATCGACGCTGCGATTAGCTAGAGAACAAGCAAGATCGCATTTCGATCCAACAGTGCATTCGTCGGCTCTGGCAACGGGATAACGTAAAATAACGGCCAGTGGTACGAGATCTTTTATACTCAGAAAACGAGCGAGGCATGGCCTGGCCTGGATTTCTATTCGACGAGAAGTGCGCGACTAGGTACATGTGTCGTGTCGCCATCTCTACATAAATAAATAATCCTTCGGCCTGGGAACCTGAGATGAAAGATTGTACTCGTACTTTATTGTGTGGCCTCTGTTCTCCCGTACTCCATCCTCCATGCATGCATGCACGCACCGACGACTTACGAGGGTGAAGCCGGGCCGGCCACTGGTACTACCTTACGATCTTCTCGATGACATGCTATTTGCTCACTGTTTTTGGTCTACGATCACACAGTGTCCCATGTGCCTCTGCCTAATCGAACACTTGAGCTATATGCTCTCATCGTTTTCGGATTTGTTTTAGGGAAACATAGTAGTATTTTTCATGTACCATAAAGTGGTGTTCAGATGCTTTCATAGATGTGCTCTGA